CAGGATTATGATGTCACTCCGGCTCCGGCATCACTGAGAGGCGCACAAAGGAGCTGAGCAGGAGGATCAGAGCTCCCTCGCCGCTCACCTGAACTCTGCTCCTGTCTCCCCATCCACTTGTCAGCCCAGCCAGCAGCAGCCCCACTGGAACACAAGGGAAATCCAAAATGAAAGCAAAAAATATTTTTTAAATGTGTTAGTGTGTGTTTGTTAGTGAGTGTGTTAATTTGTCTGTTAGTGAGAGAGTGTGTCCGTTAGAGAGAGTGTGTGTCTGTTAGTGACTGTTAGTGTGTGTCTGTTAGAGAGTGTTAGTGTGTGTCTGTGAGAGTGTGTGTGTATGTTAGAGTGTGTGTGTGCCTGTTAGAGTGTGTACCTGTTACTGAGTGTGTATGTGCTTGTTAGTGTGTATGTGTCTCTCCCACCTCCCCTCCATGTGTCCCATACCCCCTCTCTTCCCTCCCCTCCATCTGTCCCATTCTTCCCTCTCTCTTCCTTCCTCCCTTCCATGTGTCCCATAACCTTGCTCTCCCCTCCATGTATCCCATTCTTCCCTCTCTACCTCATGCCTTCATGTGTTGCCTATCCACCCTCTCTCCCCCCTCCCCTTCATTTGTCTAATACCAGGGTCATTGCAAGCAATTTTGACGCACTAGGCAAAAATAATTGAGGCCCATTCGCTCCACCCACTCATGCAGACTAACACACACTAACTCAAGTAGACACACACACTGACCAATGCAGAAACACACACACACACACACTGACTCATACACTGCCCCATGCAGACACACACACATTGACCCATGCAGCCACACACACACACCCCATAGAGACACACACACTGACCCATGCAGACACACACCCCATACAGACACACACAATAACCCATACAGACACACACAATGACCCATATAGACACACACAATGACCTATACAGACTGACATACACAAACATACTGACTGAAGCAGACTCTCACAGTGAGCACTTCCTGTCAGACCACTAGGCCACGCTACACACAGGCAGGAAGGGAGCAGTGTGGTTCTCTTCTCCTGCCAGACTGCCAGGAACTGTTAACCCGGGCTGGTGCGGCTGTGCAACGGCCCAAAAGGTATCCAGATGGCCCGGTCGCTGCGGCAATCCCTGTGACCATGATAGGTACGTCACTGACTGTACCAAGCTCTATGTATTGTATCTCTTTTTTTCTCAGCTCTGTTTGTGGTATGGTCATCTCTGTTATGTACTTAACTCTATCTAATTTTTATATATACAGGTTTCAAGGGATTCCCCACGTTAGAGAGCTGGTCTGTGTTTGGGGAATTTTCCCTGAACATAGATTAGAGGCATTTCCTCCTCTGGTGCGTATGTCTACGTTCGGGTAAATTTCCCCAAACATAGAAAAACACACCACAACAGGGAATCCATCTAATCTATGTTCAGGGAACGTCCCCCGAAAGTATATTTGAGGGATTCCCTGCTCTGGTTCGCTTGTTTATGTTCGGGGAGTCTATGTTCTGTAGAGCATCCTAACTTCGTTTTACGACTGGGTTGTAAGAACGGAACCTGGTCGGTAAGTGAGGAGTGTCTGTATTCATGTTGTGTCCAGTTTGTATGGGTATCTCTGTACTGTATAGGGAGGAGTCAAATTCTGGCATCCCTCAATATTAAAACTTCAGCAATCTCAACTGCCTCCCAACATTTTAAATGGACAAAGAGGGACACTTTAGTTTTAGGGGTGGAAGTGGGTGTGTGGCCTGGGGCAGGCTGTTCTGAGACATTTTTGGTGGCTTACTAGTAACAATCTATGGAACTAAAATATAATTTAGCATGAAAACAATGTATCTTATTTACATAGACTGATGTGTATACTCATTTATTGTAGTGTAAAGACACTCAGAAACAGAAACAATATGAAGCTCTTAGGAAAAGAGGGACATTGAGATAGAATAGAGGGTCAGAAGTATTTGGGCTCAGATAAGAACTGTCTCTCCTAAATAGAGACACTAATGAGGTGTGGATTACCTTTATCCCATATCAGAAGGAATTCCAAATTAAATTTGCCAAGGCATCATTACTGAGACCAGAGGAAAGTCATATGGAAGGTGACTGGTGTGCTATGGAGGTAAAAACCTAAAACGGGAAGCAAAGTACTAAATGCTAAAGCAGTCCTTTTCACTAAAGAGCAATTACAGTAAATGATATGATGTGTGACATTTTGATTAAAAAACAAAATGTCTCACTTCATACATTCCAAGGTTCGTATTGCTGATTTTTTTTATTAATAAGTGATTCAATTTCTTTGGCTATCTTTTTCACATTTTTATCCCGTTAAACTCCTTTGGGAACTTTTTAAAATTCAATTCTGTATCTGCTATTTGTCCCCTCTCATTATAATGTATTACACTATTCTTTTCTTTTCTTCATTATGAAAGAGAATAAGCAGCCATGCAATGTCACTGTAGAACATTGGAGCCTTGTAGATAGACTGGACCACAGGTAGATAGCAAAATCCTGTATAAATATTTCAAAGGTAATAAAGAATACTATGAGCTATGAAATAACGCTATGAGAGATCAGTATAGGCACAATGACTCGATCACTATAATGTACTAACTATGTTCTACAGTGACATTGCATGGCTGCTTATTCTCTTTCATAATGAAGGAAAGGAAAGAATAGTATAATACATTATAATGAGAGGAGACAAATATGCTACAAACATTAGTTTATTAACCTTTTATTATATTTGGGCTCTGTAGAAGGAGGGCTTTAATGGCGTAAGGGTGGCACAGGGCAATCTGGTTTCAATATCTCCCATTCCAAACCTTGCATGTTAAAATAAGTGTAAGTCCAACCGATATGGGGTACTGTGATGCTGTGGTGGGCCTCACACAATGTGGTCATATGGTGAAACTGAATCCCCATATTTATTTGCTAAGATAGGTGATTTTAAGTAGCCTTTTAAATTGTTGTTTTTTTCATGTTACCACTGTTAAGCAGTCACAGGTCTATACTTAGGCATACAACATTTCAATGGACAAAGAGGGGCACTTTAATTTTAGGGGTGTGAGAAGGGGTGTCATTAGGGGTGGGGCTGTTCTAAAACATTTTAGGTGATTTACTAACAACAATTTATAGATCTAAAATGTAATTTAGATGAAGAAAAATAGCTTCTATTTAGACAGACTGATTTCTATACACATTTATTGTAGTTTAAAGATACATTACTGTGAGTACAGAGGAATTATTGGATTTGGGCCAAAATAGGGACTGTGCCTACTAAATAGGGACACTTGGGAGGTATGGTTAGGGCAATGTAGCATCTCAAAACGACATCTTATTCTCACTGTTTTTTTTCCATCTGTAAATAGATATCTAACTCGGCAAATATAACTGCAGGGAGTTCTTGTTCGCTGTTCGCTGCTTTTGCGTCATCTTTCCTCAATTTAACAGACCAACCGTCATTTCCTGGATTTGAACGCGTGCATGCGCATTTCATTCGGTTACCCTGTTTGGGAGACTTTCCCAGCGATCGCGGCATTCAGGAGTTTTTTTCCGCGAACGCATAGGACGTCTCATACGAACGGCTTATTCCTATTATGCCACGAACGCTCTATGAACCTTGTGTTCGTGTCCACAAACACACTCCTGGTTCTCCTACTTTGATTTGTGTGTTTGGCCGTTCGCGGAGACTTTTTTGTTCTTGGCCGCCATTTTCTGTTTTTTCTCCTGCGTCCTGACCCTGGTACCGCCCCCAACAGCTGGAACTCGGAGTTGGGGTTAGTTTTTAGTGGTGGTCTGACGGCTCTGTTTTTTTCCTGACGGTTTGCAATTCCTGTGAGTAAACCTTTTTTCCTTCCCAATAGATCCTCTATTTCTGGGTTAATCAACCCTTCATCTAGGTTATATTGTATTATATTTGTATTATTGCTTTTGTCAGCTTTACATATAAGAATGCCATCTGACAAAGATGCTTCAGCACCCTCTGGGTCTACCGCACCCAGCCAGGTTGTTTTTGATGAGCCTTCAAGTGCGTCTGGAGATGGAGCCGTTTTCTCAGCTGAGTTTGATGCTTCTGCTGAAATGCAGACCCTGATTGACAATTCTATGTCAAAAGCTATGACTAAAGCCCTAATGTTGGCTATGGGAGTAATGTCTGACTTCCTGTCACAGACATTTGCAAAAGCCTTGATTCAGGTACAGAGATCGGCTCAGCCATCTACTTCCCAGGCTTTGCCTGGAACGACTCCTGTGCTGCCTCATTCTGGCCCTTGCTAAAGTTAAGCACTCCTCAGTATCACAGATGAACAGCATTACACCTGTCACAGATGGCGCGATTAAATTGCCACCGCGCAAAAAAGCCACTAGCCGGGCACAATCAGCTAGACTATGGAAGAGGGCAAAAGCCCAGTTAGATACTGAGTCAGATCTCTGTGATATTGAGGAGGAGTCCTATATGGACAATTCGGACGATCCATCGGATCCTGATTCTAACATTGGAGTCGAGAAATTTGACCCTGGCCAAGACACTAGCACGGTTAAACCCATTAACATTGCCATAGAGCATGTTGCTTCAGGGGACACAGGTAAGGCTTTGGATCCCCATGGTGAACCCCTATTTGACCCCGTTGATCTGCGCCACCCATGGTCAGCAGAATGGTCTCCCTCAGACCACGTAGCCAGATATATAGCGTCATAAGTACGCAAGCCTTTAGATAAGGCGACCCTAAATAAAGTACGGTCCCAGATGATGCTTGCAGGACACCTGCAGTTGACCCAAAAATTATTCAATTCCCGGGGAAGGCGTGCTGGAAGCCTAATAAGGACCTAAGGAGGCAATTGCCAGGATAAAGTTTTGGACATCTTGGGCCCGGCAGCCAAGATATTTGAAGTGGTTGAAGATGACCGAGAGCTAGACCGTTCCGCCATATGTGGTTGGATCCAAAGGGTAATTTGCTTAATTGGCAATGTCAACACTGTGATGGTAACAGAGCGTCACAAATCTTTATTACTGAAAATTTAACCATTAAACTATTTTCGAAGACAATTTTGTCAAAGAGCTTGTTTCTTTTGTGCATACATTCACTGCTTTGGATAAATCGCAAACAAATATGCGTAAAGTGTTTAACCATCGGGTTTTTGGTGAGGCAGGAAGAGCCAGGAGCTGTCTGTCCGGCTGTGTTAACAGGAGGCTCCTATACAGGGCGGGCCAGTTTCCTGGAACACCGCAATACTCCGGCCTTCTTCCCACATCGTGGGTGACCCTGGGTTGCTCGTAGATCATGAGATGCTCATTCAGGACGACGACCTTATGGCAAGTCCTCTCAATCTTCATTCTTCCTATTGGCAGTGGGGGGAAGACTCCTTCATTTTTTCCATGTATGGTCTCTCATTTCATCAGATACTTGGATATTAAACACTGTATTTCATAGATTTCCTGTCTCTGCCAGTACCATATTCCCCACCAAGGGAAATTGTTTTTTACCGATAAGATGCAAACCTTGTCACCAAGGAAATATTGGATCTGAGGCAGAAACAAGCCATCGTAGAAATCCCAACCACACCGGGCTATGTGAGCAACCTATTCTTGGTTGCCAAAAATGTTGGAGGTGTCTGCCCAGTGATAATTTTGAGGCAACTCAACGCTTATGTAACCTACAACCATTTCAAGATGGAAGGGATACATTGTTTAGAGGATCTTCTCCAACCAACGGATTGGATGGCGAAGTTAGATCTACAAGATTCCTATCTCACAATGGCAATTGCACTACAACACCAGGACTTCTTACAGTTCATGTGGCAAGGAAGGAAATGGAGCTTCACATGCCTCCCATTCATGAAGCCTGTGATCACTCTATTACGGAGTCGAGGAGTACGTCTCATAATATACTTGGACGACATTGTCATCCAGGCTCAATCTACTGAACTTATCAAGACCCATCTGAACTGGACTCTGTTGCAGAATCTAGGCTTCCTAATCAATTGGAAAAAGTCCATCTTGGTTCCCACTCAGCGCATAGAATTTTTGGGTCTCATCGTAGATTCTGCTCTTCAGACCCTGCACCTTCCAATGATGAAACTGACCAGTACCAAGAAGGAAAACAGGCACACACTTGCAGCCCCTTAACTCACTCTCAAACAATTGGCAAGAATGATTGGTCTCCTGGCGGCTTGCATATAAGCCATTTTTCTGGGCCCTCTTATCTATTGAGCCCTGCAGCACTTACAGGCGTCCCACCTGAAAGACGGCAAATCCTACACAGATATGGTCTCTCTAGACTCGGAGGCAAAAGTCAAACTGAAATGGTGGCTTCTTAGCATGGAAGGTTGGACCAGTCGAGCCATTTTCGGCGTCGTACCAGATTTAATAATAGAATCCGATACGAGTTTGCACGGTTGGGGTGCTCGCTATGGAAATGTCTCTACCGGTGGCATCGTCCCTCCAAATCAATTGTCTGGAACTCCTGGCCGGTTCCTTTGCAATCTGCAGTTTCTCCTTAACGCAGGCCCGGTGCTCCATGCTCCTGAAGATATACCTCTCATGCTATTTATTATCATACCATTTGAATGTAAGATTTTTTCTTTGCTACTGAGGGAAATAAAGAAAGAGTGCAGCATAACACTCGCCTCTGTGTCGTTAATAAAATCATGACTTTACGTCATGTTAATAGTAAAATCTGTGAATTTTGTTCAATCTATGCAGAATAGTTAGTTTGAATGGAGATTATATGGCATTTAATTTGTTTGCACCACCTGTAACTCACTTGGGCACAAGTCTAGTACCTAGTTTCCATGTTAAAATTAGTCCACTTGTAATAACTGTTTCATCCTAATCTGCATGGATTTGGAGCAATATGTTAAAAAAATCCCTCTGGAATGAATCAGTTAAGCTGATGAATCTACATTATTTGGATATTTCTTGTGTTATTTTTTTTGTTGACACATTTAAATATATTCACTGAGATAAGTCCCTGCAATAATACCAATGATTTACAATATGTATAGCTATTTTAAAAAATCTAGAAGCTCAGAGACCACTTCAGTCTGTAGAAATAGTTTCCATGGACCATTTTCATTAGACAGTACATTTGGAATGATATTACCATCAATCTGTAAGGATAGACTAAATTGCAATGCTATTTAGTATGACAGGTACAGACTGTTAACTTATTGCTTAAACTGCAATGCTCATTTGGATGGCAGAAGATAGATGTTCACACTTGTTTTACGTTATTGCACTTTTAAAACTTTTTATGGATCCTTCTCACTGCAAAACAGAATTTATGAACCAAACCATATCCTGGCAGATTGCCTCTCCTCCTCGCAATGTTAAATATGTAATATATACATTTTGTTCTTTAGGCTATATACTGATTTTTTTTACTATAATAAAAACTGCCACTCTACAGACTCAGCTGAATTCTAGTTGCCCATGCCTGGACAGACTGTAGCCCTGCCTCAGAGGGACAGGAGACTGCGCCAGATGACCGCCAGGGTCGCGGGCACTATGGCCTGAAAGCCTTGAGTACATAAGTGGCCTACTAGGCCTCCCTGCCAACCCAGCCTGCCCGAGTTGGTCTCCTACACCTTTCACCTCCCCCCGGAAGCACAGCGAGCACAACCACAGCCACCTTCGCCTTCATACCTGCGGGCGTGCAGGCTGCCCCTGATCCCCCACTTACACTTACCTTAGGCGGGCGGCCTCGATGCAGCACCAGACAGCCGCGGCCTGCATCACAGCAATCTCCCAGACGGACCTGGACCTGCACCGGTGGACTGGGCCTATGGAGCATGGAGTTCCTGCTGCCGGTTGCCCTCGCTACCCTTCTTTCCGCCTTCCCATTTCGTGTCTCATCCCTCTCTTCCGGCTGCTTGGTAACCGCTAGCTCCATACCCTCTCCCCATCCCCTCCTTCCAACTCCCCTCCTTCCAACCCCCCTCCTAATCCCCCATCCCCCCTCTCCTTCCAACCCCCACTCCCGCAACCCCTTCTTACAACCCCCACCCCTCCTCCTTTCAACCCCCCATCCATCCTTCTGACCACCTCCTTATACCCCCTCCCACCTTCTAACTTTTAACCCCCTCCCTCCCTGCCCTGCCTTATAACCCCTCCCCTCTTTACAACCCTCTTCCCTTCTCCTTCCAACCCACCCCCTCCTTTCAACCACTACCCCCCCTTTTTTTCAACCTCTTTCTCAACCCTCTCTTCTCACCTCCCCACCCCCTTTCTTACCCTCCCTCTCCCCCCTTCCTGTTGCCTCTTTTCCCATCCCCTCTTTCCCCATCTCACCCTTCTCTGTCTCTCTCTCTCTGCTTCTCGCCTCTTCCTCTCCCATTTCTTTTTTCTCCTCCCTTCCTCCCTTCTTTCTCCCCCCTTCTTTTCTCTTGTCCCTAGACAAGGCTGGCCTTCACAGGACCGGATATGGGCTTGGAAAGGAAAGATCACCTGCATGTCCTGTGATGCCACGGCCATCAGGAGGCTCACCTGAGGGATAGCATAAAATCGATTGGGGCTCTTTGCCTGGCGCTCAGATAGCATAAAAAGGCACTATCCTTTTATTAAATTTCTTTTTTTTCTGGACGCTCTAGGGACTTTTGTGTGTTACCCACCCACACACCTTTTTTCCCCCTCTCCTGCCCTCCCCTCCCGTCGTGCTACCTGTTTTTTTCTACAACAACAAGCCTGGGACAATACATGTGCTGGAGACAGGGCGAGGGGCATCTCTGAGATGTTGTTACATATCTACCACCTGCACCATTTTGACTGCATTTTTTATAACTTCTTTGCTCTGTGTGCAGTGCTGATTCACGGGTAGGAAGATTCGGGGGCGCATACAGTCTAGAGCAGCCAACATGGGGGCTCCACTGTTATTGATAAGCTCCGGTACCCCCGGGTATTGCCGGCGGTTCCGCTGAGACAGCATGGGCTTCTGTTGGGAGTCTAACCCTTTCTGGATGCGACGCAGCACCGGTCAACTATTCCGACCGATAGGGTCAGCAGGGGAGCACGGATGTACATTTTACCCCTGTTGCTTGTGTTAATTACGCTGGGAATGACTCTGACTTCCCGCGAGTTCACTGACCGAGGCACTAGGGTTGACAGGAGACGCTTTCCTCTTGCTAGGCTATCTTCAGATAGTTGCACGACACCTAGAGCCTACCTCCTTCCCCCACATGGGGTGGTTTTAGTGATGATTCACAGTAGAGGGGGTGGCTTTCTCTACCTCAGCTGGACTGCCTTGACCCTACTCGGTCATGCACGCATGGTATTTACCCATCTACGCACTTTGACAGACCCGAGTTCCCAAGCTTATATTTGCTTTACATCTTTTGTTTTTTACCTTTAGCACGTCCTGTGGTGCCCCTCTCTTCTTCCAACTCCAGACTACGCATAGCCGGTGACCCGGGTCAGCTTAGTATACTTTAGCTAGGCCCTCCCCAACAGCTCCTGGTCAGCCATGCTGGGCCCCACATCCTCCTTCTTGCCCATTGACCTGAGCCTGATGTCCCTCAATGCCAAGGGTCTGAACACACCAGAGAAACGCTCACTTGCGTTGCAGGACTTTAAGGCTCAGAAGGCCCATGTGGTGTATGTCCAAGAAACACACTTTAAGGAGGGTTCTGCCCCGAAGCTGACCAACCACATTTACTCAATAGGCTTTTATGGGATTTGGGCAGAGCGTAGGTAACTTTTTTCTT